TGTATGTATGTATGTATGTATATATATGTATATATGTATGTATGTATGTATATATGTATATATGTATGTATATATGTATGTATGTATGTATGTATGTATGTATGTATGTATATATGTATATATATATATATATATATATATATATATATATATATATATATATATATATATATATATATATATAATTTTTATGTGTTAAAAGCTGATTATGATTGTAATAATTATGTTCCAAGTCATCTTGATGTGAGACTGATACTCACGCAGCATGTGTCCGTTTGTAGGTGTAGAGTTTAGAGAAGAGACGAGCCAGCTCGAGCAACATGGACACCCCACTACCGTTTGAGTCTGCTCCGTACGACAGCCACTACAACCAACCACACACAGTCTGGTTACTTCAGCCGCCTCCCGACTTTTACTGGCAGCTGCACTGACCAAGTATGGCATGTCCTGAACTGCTACAGTTGCCAAAATAAAACATTTAAGCGATACTTACTGATAAAGTATTTAAAATTTTCAATAACAAAACAAGAATAATGAAAAAAAAGAACATACTGGAGCCACTCCAAAAGAATCGTAATGAGCCACCACGACAATAGTGGGCAGGTCCTCTCCTCCAACTCCTGCCAGACGACCCTGATGAACGAACCAAAGAGCCGTCAGACTACACAGATGAAAAACAGTTTTCTGTCACACAGATATTTGAAGTATGATGTAAATAAAAGGCAATAAAATATGCTTTGTTTCATGAAGCTGCCAGCCCACACAGTGAGTTGACTTTTTTTTTTTTTTTACAGATAAATACATCTGTTTAGTCTATACTTAGTGAATTTTAACACATTTCATACCAACTTATGAAAATATTTATGTGGCGTAACAAAAATAACCTCATATGCTCAAATACAGATTTACGTAGTGACTAAAGTTTATAATTTAAGATTTTAAATCCAGCCAGACATTGAGAAAAGACAAACTGAGCTGATCTGTGAAGATCTGTTCTATGGATAAGTTGACACATAATCTTTTGTATGCGTTTATGCTTTATTAAAACATTGTTGGGGATAAAGCTCGTTAATAAAATAAAAAGATGTTCACGTGTAGCAGGACCAAATCTTGAAACTAACTTATGAAGTGAAATGACTAATATATGGTTAATGACTAAACACTAATCTATACGGTCTTGTTTGGTTTATATCAGACTAACCAACTTACAGAAATAATTCAAACAAAGTAGGTAAAGGATATTAAGTTCACATCATTTCATTTAAACTGCAGCGTTCAGCACTCAGATTCAGTTTCAGTCTTAGATTGCAGTTTTAAGTTTCACCTCCAAACTGGTGATGACCCAGTCGCTGACAGCTTTGCTCTGAGCTCCACTGGTCACCATCTGAAAGCCATTAGCTGTGGCTGTATGCAGCAACACTACAGATGAAAGAATAGCAAAACAACAAATGCTAAATGAATCCACAGATATTCCATCCCGCTGTCTTATCTAAAACCTGATGAAAGTCATGTTAAATTAGGTACTACAGAGATCATGTTGGGGCGTTTTCATTATCTACCTTCAGCTGCTGATGAGGAACCCTGAGAGGACGAGGAGGTGAGGGTTTGAGAGTAGATGGACAGCAGCTCATCATCCTCGATGGCAAAGTAGACGGGGACGATGGTCTCAGTGGCCAACATTTCTGGCTCCAACTCCATGAACTGCTACAGAGGGGGAACAAACACGTAGCAGCCCTGATAAGACAAAAACTGCTTCATATGGAAAACTACTAGACTAACACTGAAAATGCAAACAACTTTAAACATTAAAGGACGTTGTTAGATGGAACAAGTTCTGAGAGAAGATTAAAAACAATGGAAGGGGTACGTTTTTGATAAATCTTGGCAAAAGCAGAAAGAAAATAAACTGTCAGTACATTAATTTGCTAATAAAAAAAGTTAATCTATTGTGTAGCAACATGAATAAATCAAACACTTTAATGTTCTAGTAGATGACATATAAAATGGGAGGTTTTGATAGTCATAGTATGTGAAGCATACTTTACTGGAGATAATATTTAACCTTTGCTGGGATTAAGAAATATCTCAACTCCCCCTTTAATCATGTATCCTGCTTTTGAGTTTTAATAAATGTTAAAAAAAAAAAAAAAACTGAGTGGAAACCTTCAAAAATACAGAGATCAGAGGAATGGTGAGGCTTCATGGTTGCCCAATATACATGGAAATACAAACTGAGACAAGACAAAGACTTGTCACACTGAACTGTGTCAGTACCTGCACTATGTCCTGTGGCATAGAAGACACGTTCTTGGGCAGGATGATGACCACAGCCCCCGCAGACTGCCGCAAAGCTTTCTGGTACTTGTCGTAAGAGAAGTCCGCCAGTCGCATGATAACACAGCGACGACTTAGTACCTCTGCCTCCACGGTGCGCGCCTCCGTATTCAGGATGGCATTTCGGGTACCTGAAGATACGAGAGAGAGGACTCATCGGTTCAGTAACACTTTAGGCAAGAGACCTATTCATTCATCAGCTGGGGTCATTAATAAATTGGAACTAACACGAATCAATTGCAATTTCAAGAGTGAGGCTGATGGTGAACGAAATGAAACGAGGTGAGCTGCTTGACAAGAAGGCTTCTAGTGTAACGGTTACTTTTTCAAGAATCGTTGTGGATTAGCAGTGTGACAATAAGAGGATATCTGACAAGTTTGAGCTCTCCTTTAGTTCAATGCATTCGGTCAGTAGATATGTAGGCAATCAGAGAAACAGCAGGCCCAAAGTGAGAAGAGCAAGTCTTTCCAAAACACTGTTAAATGTTTTTTTTAACCCAATCCAGCACAACCTGACAATTCGTTTATAAAAGTATAAGTTATTTTAGAATATATTATTGTGCTAACTTCATTAAACTTACAAGACAGCCTTAGTTAAACAACATATTTTTAAGGTTATGATTAGTACAAATACTTTAAAGATTCATAAAATATCTGTAAATCGTACAAGGTAGCCTGTGATGCACTGCTTATTTGAATCCTTTTGAATTCAAAGTGAAGCTAAAATTCCTTACTAACTAAAATTTAAATGCCGTTACTTTATACTAAAAGATGTGCTGAAACAACTGAAGTATGCTGTTAACAGAAAACATAAATATAAAATAAAGTTTGAAAGCAAAGCAGTGTAAAAATGTATCAAACAAGTCACTCTGCCAAGTCACCAACAACATGCCCAGATAATTACAGATGATGTGTGCCATCAAGCCATCACTGCAAAACAAGTGTTGTTGTTTTTTTTTTATAGCTCTTTTAATCAAGCACAAAACGGAATAAGTACAGCAAACAACATTATCATAAAATAATTAGATAGTATATTCAAAGAAGGCATCTAAATTAAATTCTTACAAGTCAAAATGAACATTTCAGCCATCCAGAATACCATTCTGGATGTACTTGTGAACATCATATTGTGAAAACCCATGGACCACAAACAGAAGACGGGACACAATTTAACCTACAAAGAATGACATTTGAGATATTCTGTGAAATGTCTGGTGACTGAGGACAAAATGTCATTTTGGGTGTTATTTATTTAGTTTTTGTCAATAAATAGTTGAGTTATGACTATTTAAGACTTATCCAAATGAGCAATTCCTTGTGAATTACACCTAAATAAAATTATACGTGCTCTTTAACTTTATGGTTTTCTTCCAAACTGCTTGCAATAATGGCACATAAGCATTTTCAAACAAACAGCTTATCTATTAACACTTAACCTCTATAGTTTTACAACGAGCCATTTTAATGGACTGCTCCTTGATCGTATGGCTAGGCTACATTAGCAGCTAAAAAGCTAACTATGCTAGTCGCTGGAAACAACACGCCTGCTGCAGAATCAGTTTCTAATCACTAACACAGTTAATACACCGATGTCTTCGTTTTATAACAAAAACTGCGGAAACGGAGAGCTGTCTCACCGTACGGTTGTCCCTGGAGGTCGTACTGCTGCATGCGGTACACCGTGAACTCGTGTGCTGCTTCGGCTGGAAGAGGGGACACCAGGATCAACACCGCAGGGATAAACACAATAAAGGTTAGGGGAAACGAAGATTTGAACATGTTATCAAAGACTTCACTAGCTTCCTCGAACATTGTAGCGACTATATTTTCAGCATACACTAAAACACTGAATGAATAATATTCAGCTGTCACTGCCCCGCGACTGACGGTTAGCAGGAGCGAATTTTGATCAGGCACATAAATGGGCGACCCCCATCCCTTTTAGTGGGCAACTAAAAACACTGTATGACAGTAGTTTTAATTTTTACAAAACGGATATTGAAAATTAATGTGCATTATAAACATTAGGCCTATTTAGAAAAAATAACATGACGAATAAATATTCCAAACTCTAATGACAACCGGGGTCCTTCAGGGCTATTATAGGACAACTATAAACAAAAAAGTTGTATATTTATTGACACTAGATGGCGCTGTGTACCGCTGAAACAATGTCAATGTCACAAGCCTTGTAATTTGCAAATCTCATCATTAGTTTCTTATTTTCTAATTGTGTGAATGTTTATTAATCATTCACACTATTGTTATCATGTTTCTCTTTATTATTATTATTATAATTATTATTACTATTATTATTATTGATGTTGCTATCGTTCTAACTGTACATTTGTTGATTCAACTATATATTTTTTTGTGCTACATTTTCAACTGTTCATATTAAATAAGTAGTGACAGTTCAGCTATTGAAAATTTACAGCTTGATTTCAGCTTCAGCAGCTTTCAGCAAAATTATTCGTCACACTGCATTTTCCCAGTGTTTCTAGCTTAGTGTTTAATCGAATCCTGGATAGGGGCCTTTCTGGGTAGAGTTTGAATGTTCTCTCTGTGCATGCGTGGGTTTTCTCCGGGTACTCCAGTTTCCTCCCACAGACCAAAAACATGCATGTTAGGCTGATTGGTAACTCTAAATTGTCCCTAGGTGTGAGTGAGAGACTGAATGGTTGTTTGTCTCATTTGTCTCTATGTCCCTGTGATGGACATGGACCTGTCCAGGGAGTTCCCTGCCTCTCGCAAAGTGATAGCTGGACATGGGCACCAATGACCCCTGTGACCCAAAAAGGAAGAAGCAGGTAAAGATAATGACTGGATGGATTCTTTTGTATAAAACAATTGAAATATGGATGACAAATCTCCTTGCAGCAGAAGCTAAAAAGTTTATTTTATGGAACATAATGAAAACAAATTAAAATAAAATAAAAGCATGCAAGTTACTGTGATTTATGGGTGTTTAAACAGAAATAAGACTAAATCACACAATCACAGAAAATGTTTAACCAACGTTTTTACTTCTTGGGGACAAAATGGTTAGTGTAGTAGAGTTGTAAACGGTTTTCCCCTCCCATCTCCCCTCCATCTTGTTCTCCCTCCAGGGGCTGCTCTGCTAAGTGGAAGATTAATGCTGATATGGTGTCCTGCCATCCCACTTAATGGACCCTGGCGTGATTATTTCCTGTAGTATGAGTAATCCATGCTCAGGCTGGTGAAAGGACTCCGAGCAGCAAACAAAGCTCAGTTCAGTGTGGCCCATGTTGAATCTTACTATAATGAATTCACATTGCTGAGAAATTATCATCTGGAGATCTGCTGACATGACCCCGCTGCTCCGCTTGAAGGCAAACAAGCTGCTGAAGACAAACGCAGAAAGGAACGTTTGTTCAGAGGTGAAAACAGAAAAATGTGTGGTTGGTGCGTGAGCGGCACGGCAGGGAGCAGTCACATGAATCCAATTCGTTGAAAATTCATAACATCCTGTTGTCACATGATTCTCGGACACAGTGGCTCAGCAGATGTAGAAGTGGCCACATTTTGTAGTAATTATGTTCCAAATGCCTTTACGTTTAAAACTCGGTGTGAAAAACACACAGAGGAACCTTGTGCTTGAACTCCTGTGTCCTCATTTCGTTCCAGAGTTCCAGGGAATGTCCTAAATCAAACCTGCCTCTGACCCCCAGGACCACTGAGAAACACTTTCTCCCTGCAGACACACAAAGCATGCAGTCAGTGTGTGCTGGGTTATATGTCATGGATTAATGAGGGATTATCCACCTACCCACAAACCACCCCACCCCTCCTGGTTCATCGCCCGTTTCCATGCTGAGATGACGCTGTCATTTTCTCACCAGTGCTCAAACCCCGACCGCAGAGACCTGCTTCAAGGTAGGAAAGATAGGACGTGAGGAGGCTCGGGTTCACCACATGAACATGAGCACAACATAACCATGTTTTTCCTCTGGTCAGATGTAGAGCACACCTCCTGAGTCCTTCTCTGACTGCAAATGAGCAAAGGCCTGCGAAACAACCAGATTCTGTTTGAGAACTAAACAAGTTCATAACCATGAGGGAGTTGAAGGGTTCTGAATACTTCAGAACTTTTGTCTCTTGACTAGATGTTCTTCTTGTTGGAGGCCATCTTGTAACTTTTACACTCTGTCCATTTTAAGATGGACACCGCAGTTAGTCAAACTTAGCCAACACAAAAATGTCTCTGATCTGATCAGTTTTAAAGATAATGAGCTATAGTTAGATGTGGTAGTAGCTGAGGGTCATCCTCAACACGCGCACTGGGTGTGAGATCTTGTAATATTGCATGAGCTTGTAAACAGAGCGATTTTCAAGGTTTGAGTAAAACAACGATAAATGTAAAAAAAAGTTAACATAAGACGATTTTAGTCTGAAACTCTGGCATGAAAGACAGTAGGTGATATTCATTCCCTAAATGAATGTGAGGCCTTAGTGTCAATGTTTATGAAGCATTCACACTATTGTGATCCATTTTACTTCCGAACGTTTTTCGGCATCTTTCTCGTTTCACAGTTTTTGTGCCATTTCAACAAATCATAAATCAAAACGTTCAGCTCCTCTAGGTGAAGGTGCTAAGACTTCTGGTATATGTGCAACATTAGCTATTTGCAATATTTAGTCTTTTCTGACACTTTTTTCCTCATAGAAAATGAATTGAGCTCATTTTACATCCTTCAAATCTTTAGATCTGTTTACAACCTTTTACTGCTTCGTTCACATTTTGTTCTGGTTCAGCTTCTGTCAGATTATTAGCTACTGCTAATTTCAGCCGTTTTTCAGCTGTTTTGTGATGCTAACTACATGTTTGTGCTTCTTCTGACTTCTTTCTGCTCCTTTCAGCTTATTTCTGCAAGTTTCAGCATTATCTGATATTTCAAATACTATTTTACTGTTTCTATGCTAATTTGAGCTTTGTTGCACTCATTCCACTTTTGTTGCACTCATTTCAACTTTTTTCAGCCTAATTCAACAAAAATGTGCTCTCCCTCTCTTCGTCCTTCTGGTAATTTAAGCTACTTCCTGCTTTTTTTAGCTATTTTTCAGCTGGTTTTGTGCTAATTTAAGCTTTTGTCAGGTAATTTCCACATTTTTGTGCTAATTTCTGCTTCTTTCAGCCTAATTGGACAAATGTGTTCTTTGTGCTTTCTTATGCCAAGTTAAGCATGTTATACATTTTCAGCTAGCTTATTTATTTATTTTTTTTTTTGGCATATTTTAGGTAATTTCAGATGTTTTCAGATCACTTCAAGTTTTCGTGTTAATTTCTGCTATTTTCAGCCTAATTCAACTATTTCTGCTAATTTCAACTTGCTCCTTTCATCTTATTTCCGCTAACTTCAGTTATTTCAGCTACTATTTAGCTGTTTTTATGTAAATATTAGCTTTGTCATCTAATCCCACATTGTTTGCACTCATTTCAATTTTTGTGTTTTTTTTCTGTTTTCTCCTGCTGATTTACGCTTTTCAATCTCATTTTCAGCTATGTTTCAGCATGTTTTTTTTTTTAGCTAATTTCAGCTGTTTTTCAACAAGTTCTTCTGCAATAAGCATTCATACTGCATTTTCGCAGGAAATGCAATTATTTCTCTAGTTTATATACAGTATGGACAGACAGACAGATAAATAGATCACATGAAAAAAGGATATTGAATGAAATTCTATGAAAAACAAAATGAATTAGAAGTCACATAAAAATAATCCATTAAATAGAAAAAAAGAGTAACATTTTGTGGTTGTTCTAAAGATCAATACTTAAAAAAATTGATGCAAACATCTTCTTAAAAAAGTTGGAACAGGAACATATTAACCACATTGCTGCATTACATCCTTTTTAAAACAACTTTCCCCATGCAACACCCTCTCAGTCAATTTCAAGCATATACAATAATTTACTGCAAAAAAAACAATATATACATATATATATTTATCAACACAGAGTGATTTAGTTTACATTTATTTATAATCTAAAACAAAAACACGCCAATTATTTCATCATGTTGAGATCGTAACTCAGCGAAGGCGTGTCCAGAAATGGATCTTCAGCAGGAATAGATGCAGAAAGTAGAAACAGAAAACAGACATATGGAAATTGTATGTTCCATAAGTTAACACAAAACAAAAACAAAAGAATAAAAAATCTAAAATCACAGGAATGCATTTTTCTATTGTTTTAAATGTTGGAGTTTTAAGCTTTTTGATTAAATCTTGCAAAAAGCATTATGAACACATTATATTATATAAGATCTTGTTTGATCAGTCAGCGTTTGGGATATACAACTCTCAGCCACCATACCACACCAAATTTTAGTTTGCAATCTTAAAATTTACAGTTATGATCAATTTTGCTTTGACCAAGGTTGACGACTTGTGTCTAATAACTTGAATTGTATTGACTCCATAAGTTAGTCAGCTGTAGATGTTCACCCAACAATTACTTCCCGAGAGTTTAATTAAAATTCACCCAGTGGCTCATGAGATATATACAGGTAATAAAATAACAGACAGCCAAATGAACACACAGGCATGTACATCCAGAGGACCAGATTTAACTTTTTTATGTTTTTCTACCTGAATTATTGAGCATGCATCAGGATATGAGGCATATACATTGTTATCCGCCTTTCATGGCAGTCAATAATAAGGATTACGTGCAATACATCACAGTGAAATGTGGTTGTTTACACCATGGGACGGATTTTAAATCTGATTCTTGTGTCTTAATAGGAAATATGACCATCATCATCTTTTCTTCACCTGCTAATTCACAGTAATTTGTGGCCTCGGGCCGCATGTGGACATCACCCCCCTGTTTTTATTTATTTATTCCCCATCCCCCTCATGTACCCGGACAATTGATTTACCAGTCATTTTCATTA